AAAAAAACTATTAATAACCTTTGTTACTTTTCCTTTAAATAGTGCCTTAATGCACCCTTTTCCATGCATCTTTTTCACTTTTTCAATGGATGATATTTTTGGTAACACCATGTTGCGTGCAACATCCACAAAATCTTTGGGAATTTCCTCATCGCAATTTGTCCTACAATAGAAGAGAAGTAGAAACACTTGTATAAAAAATTATAATTCACAAGTATCTTTAACCATTCTAAAACCACATGGACGCTCAGTGTTGTTGTACTTTCATTTTGTGAAAAGGACAAAATTTTACAACGATCACAAGATCTATCTTGGTATGGGAACGATGCCTTAGCTTCTCCTGTGTGTTCAATTCTCATAGCAAACTTGACATTGTGTTGTTGCTTCTTTGCTGCCAAGTTCCAAACCGACTTGGTCATTAGCCAGCCTTCTTAGTAAAATGGTAGAACAACACTTAATGTTAATGAATAAATTCTTTTTACTGCTTGTCTAGGGAGATAAAAATCTGTTTGTCCCTGATTAACCACTTGTGAATTATGAATGTGATAATACTCAACAGACTGCAACCAAAAGTGTCACTTAAGTTGTCAGTTTGTTTTGGAGACAACAGTTCTTCGATTAATGTCCCTATGTTTTGTAGCTTTCTCTGTGTCATCAAATCTGTTGAATGCAGCTGTAATGAGAATGCCTAAAATCAACAGCATTTTAGCAACATTTCAAGAGAGTCTCCATCAGATGTCTCTTTCACCTTAAAACAATCCTGCCACTTTTTTTTTAGATTTCAATGCGTTTTTATGTACCAATACGTACCAGTTTATGTACCAATATGTACCAATTTATGTACCAATATGTACCAGTTTATGTACCAGTTTATGTACCAATATATGTACCAATATGTACCAATATATGTACCAATTAAAACCTTTCAGTTTTGTACTGATATTGTGGTATTTTTCTCGTTATGTACAGTTACAGATCTGAATTTTAAAAAAATCAAGTTCTTTCTCTGGTGGAGAAAACACAGCCAGCAAAACCCACACTGCACTGGGTTTTGACATGTTTTGTATCTTGGAGCAGCCTTTACAGTTTGGTAAAATTCATCAGACCTGTATGCATCTTGGCTTTTGTCCGTAGGCATGTTGGCGATTTTCCTAGTTTACACTTGCTTCTGAAACTCTTCCCGCACCATTTTGGTGAAGTCAAAACCTACACCATTGAGATGTATCTGATTGGTATAACAGTCTGACGTCATTGAAATATGATAAGGCCAGTTACAAACCAAGTTTCACGTACAACATTGGGGGTTTGATACTGTATATACATCACAGCTGGTAAAGGGGCATTTAACCTCAGGTGTTTTTACTTCATTAATAATTCTGTCAGGTGTACTTGCCAAGTATGGATACTGTGCTGATGTAAAAACATGCCACATGGCAATGTTCTGACACCTGATGTCTCTTCATATACTTGCTGACAGCTATGTGTTCACACTGACATCCATGTTGGAGTGATATATGGTGCATCAACCTTCTTACGGCACACAAAAGATTTGGCAAGTTTAATTCTATCAGTTCTAACTGTGCACTTGCAAATTTCTCCAAAGTTAGAAGAGGTTAAACAGATGAACTAGTCTTTTATCCATCACTTGCCCTTGCTTTGTTTCCTTGTGTTTCTCTTGATGTCATTGATCTGTACTAGTACAAATTGCATTTCTACTGTGATGGTTATAGAACATAAACTACATTTGACAGCAAAATATATTTTTCAATGTAAAATACCTCTTCTTCTCTCTATGATCTGCCTGAGTCTGCTCCCCATCCTTTTCTGTATTTGTAAGTAAGTAAGTTTATTAAGACATGGCAACCAAAAGGTTGAAGTTATACATAAAATGGAGTGGGAATAAAATTTACAAATTAAAGTATTGATATATGATATAGGATATGCGAATAGAAATTAATGAGATTAAAAAATAAATAAATAAATAAAATAATTTTTTTACACAGGCATATCTGAAAGTTAGTGTAAAAGAGGATGGAGTAATGAAAATTAAATACAATAAANCATTTTTCAATATGAAATACCTCTACTTCTCTCTATGATCTGCCTGAGTCTGCTTCCCATCCTTTTCTGTATATGTAAGTAAGTTTATTAAGACATGGCAACCAAAAGGTTGAAGTACGTTATACATAAAATGGAGTTTTAATTTACAAATTAAAATATTGATATATAATATAGGATATGCGAATAGAAATTAATGAGATTAAAAAAAAATAAATAAAATAATTTTTTTCATACAGGCATATGAAAGTTAGTGTAAAAGAGGATGGAGTAATGAAAATTAAATACAATAAAGGCCAAAATGGGTTTCAAAAATAAAACTCAGACCACTAATGGTTTAATAAAGAGAAAGGAATAAAAGTGTTTTTAAAACGTTCAGTTCTAATTTTTGTTAAACTTTGACAGGCTATTTCTTGGTCTCCTCTGTGGATTGCAGGTTAAAAGGTAGTTCAGCTTGTCTGTGTCATTTTGTATTTTTGCAAAAAATGATTTGCAGAGTTCAAATCTGCGCTCTTTTAATGTAATAAGTTTTGCTTTGGCTAGAGCATCAACATAAGTTAATTCAGGGAATATGATCCTAAGTGCCCTTGACTGGATGGATTCTATTATTTTACATTGTTCTCCAGTTAATCCAGGGTGCCACACAGGACAAGAATATTCAACCACGGTCCGAATTAAACTCTGATATACCTGAACAAGATCAGATGAGGACAGTTTAGCACATTTAAGCTGGCGCAGAAAAAACGATCGTGTGCATGCTTTTTTATATTTATATACATGTTCAGACCATTTAAGATTGTTAGTGATAAAAACACCCAACAGTTTGAAATGGGATACTTCACTGACACGAGTTCCTCTAATATTAACTGATTGACATTTTGTCTCTGATTGTGTAAAGTTTACTGTCATAGCTTTTGTTTTGTCCAACACACTCCTCCTTGACCAGCTTAAATTCTGGACCATAAGGCTGTTCATGTTGCACACACCAAATGCCAGTCTGTCTCCATCGCCCACAAATGGGTTGTAACATAGACCATACTGCTCCATGGAACTACAAAAGTGTTATGACTGAATATCTTAAACTTTACAGAACATTTTATTTAACGAATGACATAATGACTGTACTTTTTATGATACTATGTTCACATGAGTTCAGCATGAAGAATGTGTGTCCAGCACTTTCCCTGTATCTACTGATATCACTGCAAAGAACCCGTGCTTAGAATTGTTGCGGCTCTGCCATGAGCTATCTATCGTGATGGCACAGTCCACAACCTTCCCCGAATCTACGTCCACGCCATGCAGAAGTTGTTTTACTTGTAGCACCACCTTATCCATGCTCTCCTGGGCAGTCTGTCGTGCTATGTCTCCTAACTGTTTGGTATGGTCCAGCCAGGGATGGCTATGAAGAGGGAGAGGCATGGATAAAAATGCACTCAGTCTTTTAGGAGCATGACAACCTTTTCCAACCGCACGCATGCCCAAAACGCTAGCCCTTTTTATTTTAAAAAATATCCAGTTCTTATAGAGGTCAATGATGTCCACCCTTCCTCAGACACTCTGCCGCAGAACACACATGCCCATTTCATTTCACTTGACCATCCCACTGGCACCTTGTTGATATCTCTGTCAGCCGTACCTCACCCCCAAGCTCGGGTGGCACTGACGCTTTGTTGCAACTGGCTGCAGTGCCAAATACTGTATCCAGTACAAAAACAAACCAGACATCTTCATGACCAAGACTATAGTGGTTGACTGGACTGTTTTATTTTTTCCAGCACCTTTTTGTATGACATGGTGGCTTCTAGGCAGCAGCTGGCTACATGGGCATGGCTTTTAATAATAAGGAACAGACAGTTAAAGACCAGCGAGAACATCCCTAGCCTTCATCTCATCCAGATATACAACACATGGGATGTGACAAGTTTTAGGACAAGTGGGATTTACATAGCCAGAGACAGGCAGGTAATATGGTAAGCAGTGTCATTACAGTAATGTGACAAACAAATTTGAAGTTCACTCAGTTAGACCGATAAATTATATTCTAAAAAATTTGTTTCTGGACTCCAATATTTGAAACAAAAGATAATCTCCTGCAACTATTACTGTATTTTTTTTTTTTTATTTTATTTTGGCAAGACATTATACACATGAAGTATGTGATACTGCTTGCAAGCTGGTGAATTGATTATGTTTTCTGCATACCATGTCTCTTCGTATGTTGTTATGCTTTCAGTGGCATGGATGAATTGGTACATTACGGCTTTTTTCCTTATTTGTTTAGGTAATGTAGAAAAAAATATTGCCATGTTATGATTTAAAACTATTGCATCAAATATAACTTCATGCCTCCGGCATGTTTCTTAACCTGCTTGTTGGAAGAAGTTAAACTATGTATTTGTAAGGTACATCTTCATTTTAAGCTGGAAATCTCTGGAATGTTCCATCATAAAGAAAAATACTATAAACAGCTATGACAAGGGGATGTGGATCAAAATAAGAAAAATGATATGTCTGCCCTTAACATATTTTCAGTATTTCATATATTTATTTTAAAAATATGTACAGAGTAAAAAAAAATTGCATGTACATTTGTGTAAAATCAATCATGTTACTAGCATCTTTCATAAATACTAACATGAGCTACTGCTATTGTTAAACGTACACTGAAATTCATTTGTACATTCAGCACAAACTTTATTTTTCGCTTAGCTACATGGCTGAAATTTGTGTTTTGAAAAATAGGTGTATGATATGAAATAGTTTTTGTATTTTGTTTTTTTTTTATTTTTCCAGGACTTCGACCTACATCAAGGAGGTCCCTGCCCAAGACGACTTGATTGTCTTCTAAGCAGAGTAGGCATATAGAAAATTCTTGAGATATTCAAGAGAGGCTACAGGTAATAATTAAATAGTTTTTTTATTTTAAATTGACAAAAACATTGTTTCATTATAATTTTAAGACCTTTTGTTTCAAAATGTCAGTAAATAATTGGATTGAGTTGTTTGTGTAGAACATTCACAGTGTCTAGGTTTCCCTCTAAGGGCTCAATCTAAATGAAACTACTGTTCTACAGAGATGCATCCAAATCCGTGTGATTCTTGCTGAATGCAATCAGATTAACATGCTTCTTCCTTGCATTGAGTAAAATGTAGAAAGAAGCTGGTGATTATACAAGTTTGTGGAAACGAGGTGTGTTAATCTGATTGCATTCAGCCAGAGTCCCTGCAAAGTTGGATCGATCCACATAGAATGATAGTTGCATTAGGAATGTGCCCTAAATCAAAATTGTGGGTATGTCTACATTTACGTTTGGGTTTGATTTTGGAAAAATTACAAGTTACTGCTGCTTCTTTTTTGTAGAAATATTCTGTTGAGGTTTTGACCATGGCAAGTGCTTTTTATTTTGGGAACAAATTATGAATGTATTGTGTTCATGTTATGCTAACAAGAATTCTAATGGGGCACTACGCTATTTCCCTTTCAGCTGGCAGAAGAAAGGGATTAGAGTTCTCAAACATTTTGACTTTCATCATTGGACAGATGGACATGCTGTTTCTGGAATTTCAGCGCCAATCAAAAGTTGCCCTTAACTCTTTCATTTTATGCATGCGCACAGAAACTTCTGGTATTGTGTGCAGGTGCACTGAACTTACGATTGCCCTTGCAAGAAACATCACAAGAACAACTATTTGAGTTGTGCGACTTAGCTTTTCTGTCATCACACATATTTATATATTATAGAAATGTCACATCCTGAGTGTTTTGTTAGTGTAGTTTATCTGTTAGAATTGGATTGAGATTATTATCATGTTTTTATTCACTGAGATGAACCTTCAATTGTTGTGTGTGTGAGTGTGGTAAATTAAGAACTTTCAAATGGCAAAGGAAACAGTGAAGGTTTTGAAAGCCAGCTTTGTACATACATGTATATATATATATACACTGTGCATGATGTTAGTCTGTAAACACTGACAAGTTGAGAAGGTTTTTTTCGATATTTCCTGAAATATTCCTGATTATATACTGGGGTACATAAACAGTATCTTTTAAAGAGTACTTATAATACTCAGTAAAAAGAAAAAATATAGTGAAAAATATGTATGAGATTTAGTTTTTCACTTTGTTCACCAGGATTACATGAATAGAATCATACTGTTCTGTCTTAAATGTCATGGAACACAATACTGCAGTACATTGACAGCAGACAATCTAAGGGGGTTTAAAGTGTGTGCCATATTGGATGTGCAGCTAAGTTCTGAAAACCAAGAAAATGGAACCAAGGTCCCCTTCCATTATTCCATGCACCATTATTCAGGCGAAATGCCTGCTTTGAATTCAAAGATCCAAGTTTGTATATGATGTGAAGTCAAAATTTAAATACCAAATAAATATTCTAAATATTTCAATAATGTGTTTTAATTTGTTTCTTTTATGGATTACATTTTTATTATTTATAACAACATTTTATTCAGAAAACTCACTCATATCTAATGAAATGCAACTAAAGAAATGTTTGCTTTCAGAAAAATTGATAAGATGGCAGTATTTGTTTGTTAGAAAAAAAACATTTTAAAGCATATATGCATCTGATTTAAGGTTGCCTGTAAGTTCTGTTTAAGCGCATAAGCGAGCTTTTAATCTTATAATTAAGAGCCAATCCTTACAGTTTTTGTTTTTCATTCAGTCCCTTTTCTTATATTCAGTAAAATATTCAATAAAAGTATAAATGCCTAAAATCGATAATTTAAGAGCCGCGTATCTTCTTTCCCGGGATTGGGAGGGGGGTCTTAGGGGGAATAATTCAAAACAGTCGGTATAAACCAAACTATGTTATGTTTTACTTTAAATTAACTGCGTGTCCCTGTTTGGTTAAAAGTAAGATTCATTTCTAAATTGAATTCTTTTGTCAATATTGTTCCAATGTTGTTTTATTCAGAGTTGTTTATAAAGTTACATAAAACCACAAAATGGACGTGCGTTGTTGCCTTTAATAACAAAACTTTAATCTAGGCTTCCGTACGAACAGAGGGTGGGCTATAACATACTGTAAATTACACGTACTTGTTTTGGGTGAGAGGTGTTCAGTTTGGACCAAGGTCAGTGAAAGAAGCTTATGCCACAGTGCTGCTATTTCCACTGTCCTCGTATATAACGCTGACAACGGCAGCAATCTGTTGTAAGTACAGTGCAGACGGAATTTTATAGCTCATTACCATTGAAAATATCGGTCTACACGCTTCCTCTTGTTCCAACGTATAATCACCAATCTTCTATATTCTTTCCAACCCCAGGAGGAGACGTGTTAATCTGTCCATGTTAGTTTATCTATAATTCCATAGCCTATTAAATTGATGGCATTCAAAGAGAGTTGGATCGATATANATACAAACTTCTTCAGGTGGAACCCTAAAAATCAAACACAGTTTGCAATCTGTGAACTAAGTATTTCTAAGAGCATGACTGTGACTTCCTTTGCACCTCTATATTGGGCTTGGGTGCTACATGTGAGTTCAAACATGAAAACCGGCAAACTGATACAGCAATAAACAAATATATGGGTCAAATGGCAAATTAGATAAGTTCGTCTGTGAAATCACAAAGAAAGATGAGACATACATATGCCGTTACATTTGATTTCTGTTGATCTGACAAAAAAAAAAAAAACTTACGCATTGTGAAGAAAATATGTATACAAGCACGCATTTTTTTATCGAATCTTAATGAATGTATTCACGAAATTAGATTTAAAAGTATAAAAAAGGTAAATTTGCTGAAAAGAGAAAAGCCCTCTTGTTATAGTAGTTTCGATGTTTGCATCATACATATCGGTGTGAATATGTTTGCTGGAGAGATGTGTCTTTTTATCTGCTGTATTAATTTGCACTAGAAACTTCTCTTATTCAGCCCCGCCCCCTTGCATCTGGAATCAATCATTAAGTGAGAATGAAATCGGCCATATTTTGGTTCTATGAAACGGGAAAGACGCATATAATTTGTTTTATGATCAGTTTATGAGCACTTTGTCAAATTATGAAGAAAATTTAGAAAAGGACAGATTGTTTTAAATACAAAATTAAACCATACTTACAAGAACAATGAGAGAAATAATTCTCTTTGCAAATGCTCCAAGCGGCATTTTTTTATCCTCAGATACGTAGCCTTCAGTCAATTGGTCAGAGAAGTCCTTTGCCATGAATTTTGTTCCTTTTTTACGAGCTGACTGAAAGCAGGCAGATGAAACAGATCCAATAAATCCCAGAACAACGGGTGCAAGCATACTCCCGAGCAACAGACAGTACCATCTAAGTTTCTCGGCTTTTTCATCATCAAAGGTTGTCAAGTTCGTCGCTTTAGAAGCTGTGGAATGATTAGACGCGTATGTCCTGTTTTCTTTTATTTTCGAAATGGATACAACGATGAGAATTCTGTTGGAAGCAACACCAGCGATAATGATGACAAGAGTTACTATGCCAAACAGGAGCAGAGAAATTACTGAGCAGCATTTGTCCACGGTACTTTCTTCGTCGTCGGGTTGTTTTCGCTTCTTCGGTTTCTTCCGAAATACACGAAAGTCGTACGCCTTTCTAAATTACAAAACAGGGATATATGTTATCATCCAGACAGTTGTTTATTTCTCATAAACATAATAAAATTTAAATTTTAACATATTTAATCTTGCACCCAGGATCAGGTTGTTATTTTTTTAAAAAAATTATCTATGTTTTTGTAACACTTATAATGTTCCGATATTCATGGGAGCGGGCAAAGGGTTTCGAACAATATGTTAATAAAGGAGATGTTTGTTGGAGGAGGAACACTTTCAAGAGTCTGTACATATTTATTTTTCAGGAAAGTTAAATTTTGAAGGCATTGAATAGGAACTTAATGATGCACATCTTGCCATTTCTTTCAAATCATGAGTAGAAATAATCCACAGACAAACTGTGTTATTTTAGCTAAACGGCTTGATGTCAAGTTTTTTGGATTTTAACTGATCCCCAGAGTTGTTTAATACATTTAACATTCAATTTTCTCTCGTTTTACATACTAGATTTCTATTTACTACCACTCTCGTATCAGCTTTCGTTTACTGTGGGACAGACTTTGTCTTTATACTTACGTAGTAGCAGTAGTGCCGGTTCCCTCGGTTATAGACACTGTGGAGTTGTCTTCACCTATACCCCCCTCGGTACGGTCCTCATCAGACATTGTCTACGATGTCACCACCTGGTACTTTGGAGTGCCTTAAATGTTTCTTATTGTTTACTTTTAAGACAATTTTTTTACTTGAATCGTAATTACGGTCACCATGAAATGCCAACACTGTTATGAACGCTGCTGTAATAACCGCTTTGCACATATCCAGTTATCAAAAGTGACGAGGTAAATTAAAAATGTCAGGCTTAGATAAGATATTCTTATATCCTGTTTACATGTATATTAACAGCTCAGACAACTTCGTTTGCCCTTGCAAACCAGGTACCCAAAGTCCGCAACGTGGGGCGTTTATCTGTCAAGCACCTGGATGTTATCTGATATAGTTAGATAAATTTATTAAAACCTGCCAAGGACTTCCTATTACCTTCATTGATTAACTGAGTGATCGATTGATTGCTCGAACACTAGATATTGTTTATGATCAATGAATTTAATAAAAAAGTTAATTTAGTATTCTAGTTTGTCTATTAGCAAAATTATGCAAAAAATGTGGATGGATTTTGATGACTTTTCCATGATAGGTCATACATGGGTTACATTTTGGTGGTGATTTTTAAACTAATAATAATAACGATGGTTTTTTTTTCAATTAAATTGCAACCCGAAGATTGAATTAGTACGATTTTAAACAAGAAAATTAAACTTAATAGACTCAGGTAAGAGCTTACATGTACTGGTACATGTATAACTGAGGAGAGCTATTTGTGAAAGATGTCTTAAAACGATCAGTTTTAAATATTGGATCTTTAAATGTTTCTTTTTCTTTTATGATCGTATTTTTCTTTCATGCAAACAATGGCCCAGTTTACACTATTCTCAATTTTAAAATAAAATCCCATCCCTTACTTAGTGTTGTCTTTCTTTGTTATAAGATGTTGAGTTTACCCACCTCTAGCAATAGGGCATACTGATGACTTAAAAACCTGGGTAGCCTGTAAAATCAACATTTCGATCAATGTGTAGTTTGCTGTATTCATGCGCCTTTTCATTATAAAAAAGGTGCGCCTACTGAATCTGCATAGTTCTAGTGCTACAGAGTATTTACAGAGTATTAATCTTATGAACAACTATAGACGCAGGCGTTATCGCTTTTACCGTTTTGAAGCACACAAAAAGTAGGTTTCACAAAAGTTAAAGGTGCCCAGCGTAAGGATTTCTTGTAAATAACTTGATTTTTCCGGATAACTGGGTATTTTTCGCTTATTATCCAACCTTTTAATTTTACACTCATACAATTACACTTCGCCAGGAGTTCATAAATCAAATTATTTTAATGAAACTAATTCATGACATGTATTTGGTAAGACATACTGTATATTCATATTTCTCATATCAAGTCACACTTGTGAGACTAATAATTGCCGTTATGCTCATTTTAAATTCCTAACGGGTTAAAACAGGTATTGTAGTTTTACAAGGAACTTATTTGCAGTAGATAACTATTCAATGGTACCATGAACGACATTTAAAGGATGTCTTTCCGCTGTAGACGCTTAAATAGGCCTTTCTCTGAAACTTTGCCTATTTGATCCTGAACCCCGAAGCATGTCTCACACGGAACCGTTGAGAAAATAAAGGTCAAGGTATAGGTTTTTAAGATCACTTAAAGAAAAAAAAGCGCAGCATTTTTTTTTCGTCTAAACTTCTCGCCATTACTCCCCTACGCGTGGAATTCTGGGACTTGCCTCAATTTGCATATGACTGAATACTACTGTTTACTACGCTCTGGAGAAGACCCGGATGTCACTGCAAACCAAGATGGAGGGTAGTCCGAGCACACGTGGGTTGAAAGAGAGAGGAATAACTCTACGGGACAATGCAAAAGGAAATTAAACGGGAAATGCAGAAGCAGAGGATGTTATTTTCATTGGCAGGCCAGTGAGGTAGACAAAGCAGAAGTAGGAACTAAAACTGACACGCGAGAAACTGACAAAAATTCTGCCAGATACGGGTAGGTTATTTCGACCTCTTATTACGTCCGACTCTTTTATTGAGAACATATTCAGGGGGCGGATTTAGGCCGTCTTCTGGTTCTTCCGGAAGACGGTTAGATTTTTAAGTTTTCATTGACGGGTATATGTAATATTCCTGTCGAAAGGCGGTCAAAAATGGAGGATGGATCAACATAACTCGGAAGACTGTCAGAAAATATCTCTGGATCCGCCCCTGTTATCCCTGCCGTACGCAGAAAAGTTTATTATTCTTTAGAGCAGTCAGTACAAACAAGGACTGAGCTAAAAAGTCTTCTATTAAAGACTTTTTTTGTCGGCTTACTTAACGTCGTAATATACTCAAGTCCAAAAAAAAAAAAACTTTGACGATTTACCTTATTCGAATTTAATTTAAATTAAAATATTTACTTAAAGTGAGCAGATTAATTGCAGCATCTGATGGTAGTAGATGTTTATTCTCCGTTTACATTTTTTAAAAGTTGACTTCATGGGGAATCTCTGGGGAATGAGGATAATTTACTGGTATATTTTTTTTTAAAATCCAGGTAATATGCATGTGGTAACATCTACCCCCACATCAGGTTCAAGGCCAGCCTTGTTCTAACCGTGCAACATAGAGCCAGAGCCAAAGTAAGTCCCTGACACCCAGAATCCAAACACACAATAGCTGTTCATTTTACCATGTTCAATACACCTTGCCATCAATACAAATCTAATGCATGTTAGTACTTGGAACAATGCCATTTTATTATAAAGTTTAATACTTTCATGGCAGGTTTGTCCCAGACTTGTGACAAGCACAGGATATCAGTACTTATTGTGAGGAACATTATATAATAAATTGAATTTTGAAACAAATAATTTTGATAAACATGCTCTATTCAGTGCTCTTATGTCTGGCATAGACATTACAGATAGTGGGTGCTATTAATTTCACAAAAATGCATTGAAGTCTTTCCAATAGTCAATGTTTTGCTTTTAGGTATACTAAGCAGCAAAGCAAGCACTCAAGATCATGGATGACAGTAAGACCTCAAGCTGTTACATAAACAATTAGCACAAATAAAGGTATATTCCAGTCTTACAAACCAGGAATTTGACATGGGAATTACAAGTACACATTTCTTAGCAGCCATGGTGCAGATGGAATCAAGACAATCAAGACACCGTGGTCCTTATATGTATGTAAGAATTTTTTTATCAAAATGATTACTTCACATAAACTGTTTTTTTTTTTTTATAAATCTATCCAGACATACATTATTTCCTTGTAGGATATAACTTTGAAAATGATTGATTTTATGAACAGATTATGTACTGATTGATTTTATGAACAGATTATGTACAGAGTTGCATTTTACTTTTGGTATGAGGAACAGATAAATGAAAGCACCTTATTTTTCCATGCCTTTATTTTTTATGATTACTGAATTGTTGCACAAATTACAGTAGAATGAAAAGAATCCTTCTACTTAGTGACTTGCATATTACAGGTCTTATGAATGTTTGGTCAGTATACTGATACTCGTGGTAATAGTTATTCTGTGATTTTCTTCAAAGAGAAGTAATCCAGCAAATTCAACAGCAGTCAAAATGTAGGGGACATTACAGTGAGCAGATGGGCCAGTCCCAGTAAATTCTCCAGCAAAAGCATCTTTATATCCAGTGCAAGGCCAGGATTTTCGTCACACTGGTCACAATGCATTCAGCTCTTTTCTTGGCAACACCATAATGTATGCTCTGATTATGAAAAAAAAAAGTTCACTTTTATATCTGTTTTGATATGTACAATAGCTTACTGCAAAAATAAATTATTTGAAAATGTATGAACACTTAAATAACCATAAGGACTGGATTTAACACCACCAAATTTAATTGAATAAATTTACTTTGAAAATAAGAAGGAATATGAATGGTGTATGTGTATTGTGAGAAACTAAAAATTTATCTGTTCAATAAAGATTTAATGAGTTTCATACCTGTTTTGTGAGTTACTGAATTCTCCTTTCATGTCCTTGGGTCAATCCTATTGATCTCACACCTCTACCAAGCCTTGTACCACTGGACCTAGAAGTGCTATATGTAACACTGCCAACTCTACTAAACCTTTAAACTCTTTACCTCAGGGAGCTCTTTACCCTCTAGTTCTGGACTGCTCTGACTGCTTGCCTCATCAACAATAGGCCTACTCTCGATCTGAAAGGTATAAAAAGATCGACTAGAAAGGCAAGATAAGATACGTGTGTGCGTAGCACAAAATTCATGCACTCCTATTAACGATTATGACATCTGCACGATGCTCACCACTACTGCCAGTAAGTATCAAAATCGTTTGGAACGCATTTGTAGTCCGTGCTACGTTGTGCGTGCTAATCGCGGTGTCAAAATTGCGGCTCAGAAAGCATAGCAAACAACAAAAAAAGTCGTTCATAAATATCCAACCGAAAAGGGCTGGTTACATTGACCCGAAAAATATCACTGTCTCTAATCATGTCACCGGTATATTTCCTGGTAAAAATTACTCATTCGGTGAATCGGCATTGAGAATTACGGTATCAAGCACTGTTGACATTACGTCGTAAATATTTCCAAGCCATTCGTTGATTTTTGGACTATTTTAACCGACGAGAAGTTCAATGAATTCTTTTAATGTTTAAGTGCACAAACCTGTTCACGAACAATGAAGGGAGAGAGTTGTAACTAACGTGCATCTGTAAACGACTTACTTCGAACTCCACCGCGCCATATTTGTTTCTCCTTGTGTACGAGTGCTATTTTAGGCAACGCACTCTGATTGGCTAAAACCTTACGGTAGACGTCTTCTCTTTTTTGGGGAGAGGACGTTCTCCAATACAGACTCGAATGTGAAATAATTAATTATTTTGATTGCCGTCTACCTCGAAGGCGAATTTTGGTTTAGATCGTGACCTTCATACATAAGAAAAAGTTTGGGATATGTTTCTTTTTTTTTTTTCATATCGGGAAGACCCCCTTTAATATTTTCTGCGTTTCGTTAGTATAGCGGAAATTTTTTGTATTCATGATTTGTGATGAAAAAGAAAGTACGTGGAGATGTTTGGGTGGATGACGTAATGAGGCAGAGTTATTGAGTAGTAGTTCAATGCACGACCAATGAAGATTGGCGTGGGTGGTATAAAAGGGAGGATACAGGTAATAGTGGTCACTTTCTAGCCTGCTTGGGGAAGGGCAGGATCATTTATCCCGAAAATATTGCATTAAATGTTATTTAATTAGATCATGCCCAGTTTTCAGTGTTTTTTTGTCCAAGGAACTATGTGGGTTTCATCTCTGTTTTTCCTCTGGGCTTGATGAAAACTGTTATAGTATACAGTATATACATAAAGTTATAGTCGTTACAAAGTCGTAAAAATGTAAATAGCGTTTATTTGATTAAGAAAGAATCGGCGTCTAGCAACATCAGCGGGCTGTCGGCAAAATCTAATTTTGCGTTCGATTTTATTTTGAAGAAACTATAGTGTATACGAATACATATATTCTTTAAATAATTACAACATTTAAAAAGTATTATTATTTTTGTCTTTATCGATATCTTTATTACTATCTTTTACCTATCCCATGTTAAGATATACACGAACATTTGGACATTCTTGTGCAGTCTTTGATAAATAACCAGGGAGTATGTTTTGTTCCGTATCCAACAAATGTTTCCTCGGTAATGTCACCCTTATCTGCTGCGGCTTGCACCAAAAATCACAGAGAAAGATGAGACATACTGTACAGTTACATAATGCTATTTCTGTTGATCTGACAAAAACACTTATTAAAATTTAATTTCTCAGATATATAGTGAAGTAAATCTGTATACATGCACGCATTCTTTTATAGTGTTTTAATGAATATATATAATAGTTGTTTACATCTCACATATCGTTGTGAATATGTGTGCTGAAGAGATGTGTCTTTTTATTTACTGTAGGAGGAACTTCTCTCATTGAATTCAACCCCTTCCCCCTTGTATGGGAACAATCATTTTAATAATTAAAAGTGAGAATGAAATCGGCCATATTTCGGATCTATGAAACGAGAAAGACGCATGTAATTTGTTTTAAGATCGGCTTATGACCACTGTCAAATTATGAAGAAAATTTGAAAAAAATGCTGATTTTATTTAAATACATTATTAAAGGGATAATAACTCTTCGTTTTGGCCAAAAAATGAATTTTCCTGGAGTAAACAACAATTTTCCCATACTAACCAATGGTTAATGAATCCATTTTTACATTCGAAGTTAGTCCCTTGTTTTTTTCTAAAAAGTTTGGTTTTTACAAGTACAGCCATCAATGGAGGTCACGTGGTATAAAGACAAGCTCAGATACCAGAATAATAGCTATAACTGCCGTTTTTGTGGTAAAACAGAATATATCATATTTCTATGAGTTATTCACAATGTTTTTATTGTGAAATATAGATCTCATACGAAGAGTTATTATCCCTTTAAGTCATACTCACAAGAACAATGAGGGAAATAATCCTCTTTTGAATTATCCAAGGCTTTAAAGTTCGCCGCTTTGGAATTGGTGGAATGATTAGACGCGCATGTCCTGTTTTCTTTTATTTTCGAAATAGATACAACGATGAGAATTCTGTGGAAAGCAACACCCACGATAATGAAGACAAGCGTCACCAAACAGGAGCAGAGAAAATACTGTGCAGCATTTGTCCACGGTAGCCTTTTCGTGGTCGGGTTGTTTTCGCTTCTTCGGCTTCCTCCGAAATACACGAAAGTCGTACGCCTTTCTAAATTACAAAACAGGGGAAATATGTTAGATCCAGACAATTGTTTATATCTCATAAGCAACATAAATTTTGTTTAAAACATATTGCATTTTACACCCAGGTTCAGGTACCCCGATTGTCAGAGCCACTGTGAAGCTAGATTGTTAACTATTGAAACGTTTTGACGCGATAGCTCCTGGTGTTGCTGATATGGGTTATATATGAAATCAAGATCGAGCTGGCAATACCGGAATCTAGAACCTAGGGTAGGGTCAGGTTGCTAGTTTTTGAAATTTTTCTATGACTTTTGTAACACTTTAAATATGTTACTGTAACCGAGGCACGACAACAAATGTATTGTCCTTTTAGAAAAATCTTTATTCGTACTATCTACACAGCCGATCACTGGTGTATCTCACTTTGAATTACGCGCCAACCGCTTTTATAGTCCAGGGTCACATGACCCACGTGACATAAAAAGGGCGCTAACACCAGTATGCATATTCATATCACATATTTATATACAAGAGCTATTTATAATAAGGCACTTATATCAATGTACGCTACAATATACTATTACATATTTGAATATACATACACATACAATACATATATCCTATTACATGTGCCCCCCCAAAATTAAATGGCGTCCCGCCATTGATTATACTGTAAAATAACTGTGGATGAGAAAATTACAAAAAAAAATATTACAATTATAGTAAATTAAAACACATTACCCCCATCGTATGTGAGCACTCCAATTTCACACAGTACAAACACACAAGCAAACGCAACCTTTCTCACAAGGAAACGCAATACTATTACTTGGGTTTATGGAGGAAAATGATTAAAATTACTCCCATCTTATGTGAGTACGCCGAGTTCACACAGTACAAACACACAAGCAAACGCAACCTTTCTCATAAGGAAAAGCAATAATATTACTTGGGTTTAGGGAGGAAAATAATTAAAAACAGTGCAATTGTTGTAGCATTTTTATTATCATCAATTAACATAAATCATAAAATACAAGTTATAATTTAAAATTCTTTCAACTTTCTTTCAATAATTCCACCATCTGTTTGAACATATTTTCACTAGATTGAATGAATGCACGGTAAATGTCAAGTAACCTAGACGCAGATGTGGACCGTCTTTCTGGTACAATCTGTGAAAACACATAATTCCCCTCTTCCATCCACTGCGGACGCCGTCTAGTGCGTGTGGACCGCCTAGGCTGGACTGGTGTATCATTTTCCTGCACATCTTCACTTTCGCTTTCCACTTGCGATTCTTGCTCACTGTCGTCCTCTCGATCCTCCTCCTCTACGCTAACCCTTTCATTACTACCGTCTTCATCAGGGATCATTTGTTCAGACCCATATCGTACAACATAATGTACCCCAGAAGAATCATCAGAGTCCTCTGTTATCTCTGAAAATTCATTCTCGTGTCTGGGTCTACAGGTACTTACCTTAGTGATTTTCTCTTCCCGCAAATCCATGGGTAAAATCAAAGGTAAAAGCAAATTTCTATGAACATTTTTTATGTCCCCTTTTCCATTTTCTTGTCTGATCATATACACTGGTATATTAGAGTCATTCTGACCAACAATCACATATACCTCTTTTCTCCATTTGTTAGCCAATTTGTGTTTCCCTTTTAAGCCTACATTTTTTAACAAAACTCGATCCCCTACCCCGGGTACTACCCCTCTACACCGATTGTCATACCTTTGCTTGTTTTTAGACCTTTTCCCTTTTGCTCTCTCATTAGCAATGCTGTATGCTGTTTCCAATCTCTCTTTCAACATACTTATATACCTTTCATAGTCCTTGTGCTCATCCTTCGTGTACAGACCAAAAATTACGTCTACTGCAAGCCGGGGGGCCCTCCCGAACATTAAGTAGAACGGACTAAAGCCTGTGGACTCGTGCACCGTGCAGTTGTAAGAGTGAACTAATGAAGGTACATACCTTTTCCAGTCAAGTTTTTGGTCATCATGGAGTGTACGCATCATACCTATTAAAGTTCTGTTAAAACGTTCCGTAACTCCGTTTCCCATGGGGTGATAGGGGGTCGTTCTGGATTTTTCTATTCCCAGTAATTTACACAACTCTTTGATTACCTTTGATTCGAAGTTGCGCCCCTGATCGCTGTGCAATCTTAAAGGAAATCCATAGGGAATCATGAAATTGTCAAATAAGACTCTAGCAGTTGTTAAGGCTGACTGATTTTTTGTAGGTATAGCCCATGCATATTTTGTGAAAACATCTGTGAGCACAAGTATGTTACTTACCCTACCTTTGGACTCTTCCAAACTAAGGAAATCCATACACACAATTTCCATGGGTTGAGATGCAACTAAATGCCCCATTGTTGCGCTCTCGGGTAAGTGTGGACTTTTTCCCAATTTACATGGTCTACACATTTTTAATTTCTCGCTAACAAAGTGATCCATTCCTGGCCAGAAGAACCGTTGTTTTACAATTGACAGTGTACGATCCCTACCTTGATGTCCCATTTCATCATGAGTTAAAGTAAAAACTTTCTCTCTCCATGCACTAGGCACCACTAACCTCTTTCTGTCCGCATGATCGACATGATACAATACACCATCCACCACTTTCAGCTTCTTCCATGATCTCTTAAAAGGTTTCATATTGTCGGTTCGTGGTAGGTTTCTGAAATTGTCTGAATTTAATTTAACTTCTCTCACCTTTTGAATCACTGGATCCTGACTTTGCTCTTCCTGCCAATCAACTTTCAAATCTTCCCACTCTGCTACTTGGGGGAAACACTTAGGATGAAAAGGAAGATTTTCAGAATAACCAACATCCAAACCTACACTGTGATCATTACTACACATGTCTTTCACAATCTGTGAAGAACAATGACACTTTCTAGTAGGTAATCGTGACAGGGCATCCGCGTCAATATTGGACTTACCTGACAGATAGCTTAACTCAAAATCATACGCGGCTAAACTTGCCAACCACCGATGACCTGCAGCGTCTAACTTAGCTGTAGTAAGAATGTATGTTAGTGGATTATTGTCTGTAATAACCACAAATTTGTGCCCATACAAATAATCGTGAAATTTTTGAGTTACCGCCCACTTCAGCGCAAGAAATTCCAATTTGTTTGAGCAATAATTTTGCTCATTGCGATTTAATGCCCGACTAGCGTAAGCTACCACACGTGTGTTACCATCTTGCTTTTGACATAACACTGCCCCTAACCCACTAGAACTCGCATCAATGTGCAATTCAAAGGGGAGTGTATAATCAGGATAGCATAAAATGGGAGGATTAGTAAGTTTTTCTACAAGCGTTTCGAATGCTTTCTGGTGCTCCTCCTTCCATACCCAATGGGCGGCTCCCTTCTTTCGTTGTTCTTCTTTGGTCAGCTCGTAGAGAGGTTTTGCTATTTTCGCGAAGTCTTTCACAAATCTGCGGTAAAACCCAGCAAAACCTAAAAACCTTTGTGTCTCTTTAATGTTAGTAGGAGTTTTCCAGTGTCTCAAACAATTTATGTTTTCTGAATCACATTCAATGCCTGCACTTGAAACAACGTGCCCTAAATACTTTATTCTCTGTTGTAAAAATTGACACTTTGAAGGCTTAAGCTTCAACCCTGCTTTTTTTAATCGACACAATACTTCTCTGACTCGAGCAACGTGTTCGCTAATGGATTCTCCTGAAAAAATGATAATATCATCAAGATAAATCATACAGGTTTTTAAATTCAAATCACCAATCACACTTTCCATCAAATGCTGAAACGTTGCAGGACTATTGGTCAATCCCATCGCCATCCTGTTACACTCATAAAATCCAAGCGGTCCTACTGTGAATGCCGTCTTTGCTTTGTCTTCTTCTTTCAACTCGACTTGCCAATAGCCACTACACAAATCTAACGATGAAAACCAAACCGCCCCTTTTAGAGCATCTAGCGTCTCTTCAATCCGCGGTAATGGGTGAGCGTTTCGTACCGTGCGGTTGTTTAATTTTCTATAATCGATACAGAACCTTAAAGAACCGTCTTTCTTCCTGACCAGAACTACGTTCGATGCCCATGGACTAGCAGATTCTCGTATCACACCAGCAGTCTTCATCTCATCCAAGTACTCTCTCACTTCTTCATACAGTGCAGGAGGAATACGTCTCGACCGGTCTTTAAACGGAACGCTATCTGTTAATTCAATTCCATGTTTAACAACCGACGTTTTCCCAATATCCAACTTGTGTTGAGCAAACACCGATTTCTGCTCCAAAAGCAAATCTTTGATCAGGGAAATTCCTTCCCCGGATGCCGGTAAATTAAACTGGTTTATAAAACTTTCATCATCGAGTTCACTTGACGGATTCATCATGGTANTATGAACATTTTTTATGTCCCCTTTTCCATTTTCTTGTCTGATCATATACACTGGTATATTAGAGTCATTCTGACCAACAATCACATATACCTCTTTTCTCCATTTGTTAGCCAATTTGTGTTTCCCTTTTAATCCTACATTTTTTAACAAAACTCGATCCCCTACCTCGGGTACTACCCCTCTACACCGATTGTCATACCTTTGCTTGTTTTTAGACCTTTTCCCTTTTGCTCTCTCATTAGCAATGCTGTATGCTGTTTCCAATCTCTCTTTCAACATACTTATATACCTTTCATAGTCCTCGTGCTCATCCTTCGTGTACAGACCAAAAATTACGTCTACTGCAAGCCAGGGGGCCCTCCCGAACATTAAGTAGAACGGACTAAAGCCTGTGGACTCGTGCACCGTGCAGTTGTAAGAGTGAACTAATGAAGGTACATACCTTTTCCAGTCAAGTTTTTGGTCATCATGGAGTGTACGCATCATACCTATTAAAGTTCTGTTAAAACGTTCCGTAACTCCGTTTCCCATGGGGTGATAGGGGGTCGTTCTGGATTTTTCTATTCCCAGTAATTTACACAACTCTTTGATTACCTTAGATTCAAAGTTGCGCCCCTGATCGCTGTGCAATCTTAAGGGAAATCCATAGGGAATCATGAAATTGTCAAATAAGACTCTAGCAGTTGTTAAGGCTGACTGATTTTTTTGTAGGTATAGCCCATGCATATTTTGTGAAAACATCTGTGAGCACAAGTATGTTACTTACCCTACCTTTGGACTCTTCCAAACTAAGGAAATCCATACACACAATTTCCATGGGTTGAGATGCAACTAAATGCCCCATTGTTGCGCTCTCGGGTAAGTGTGGACTTTTTCCCAATTTACATGGTCTACACATTTTTAATTTCTCGCTAACAAAGTGATCCATTCCTGGCCAGAAGAACCGTTGTTTTACAATTGACAGTGTACGATCCCTACCTTGATGTCCCATTTCATCATGAGTTAAAGTAAAAACTTTCTCTCTCCATGCACTAGGCACCACTAACCTCTTTCTGTCCGCATGATCGACATGATACAATACACCATCCACCACTTTCAGCTTCTTCCATGATCTCTTAAAAGGTTTCATATTGTCGGTTCGTGGTAGGTTTCTGAAATTATCTGAATTTAATTTAACTTTCCTCACCTTTTGAATCACTGGGTCCTGACTTTGCTCTTCCTGCCAATCAACTTTCAAATCTTCCCACTCTGCTACTTGGGGGAAACACTTAGGATGAAAAGGAATATTTTCAGAATAACCAACATCCAAACCTACACTGTGGTCATTATTACACATGTCTTTCACAATCTGTGAAGAACAATGACACTTTCTAGTAGGTAATCGTGACAGGGCATCCGCGTCAATATTGGACTACCTGAGAGATAGCTTAACTCAAAATCATACGCGGCTAAAATTGCCAACCACCGATGACCTGCAGCGTCTAACTTAGCTGTAGTAAGAATGTATGTTAGTGGATTATTGTCTGTAATAACCACAAATTTGTGCCCATACAAATAATCGTGAAATTTTTGAGTTACCGCCCACTTCAGCGCAAGAAATTCCAATTTGTTTGAGCAATAATTTTGCTCATTGCGATTTAATGCCCGACTAGCGTAAGCTACCACACGTGTGTTACCATATTGCTTTTGGCATAACACTGCCCCTAACCAACTAGAACTCGCATTAATGTGCAATTCAAAGGGGAGTGTATAATCAGGATAGCATAAAATGGGAGGATTAGTAAGTTTTTCTACAAGCGTTTCGAATGCTTTCTGGTGCTCCTCCTTCCATATCCAATGGGCGGCTCCCTTCTTTCGTTGTTCTTCTTTGGTCAGCTCGTAGAGAGGTTTTGCTATTTTCGCGAAGTCTTCACAAATCTGCGTTAAAACCCAGCAAAACCTAAAAACCTTTGTGTCTCTTTAATGTTAGTAGGAGTTTTCCAGTGTCTCAAACAATTTATGTTTTCTGAATCACATTCAATACCTGCACTTGAAACAACGTGCCCTAAATACTTTATTCTCTGTTGTAAAAATTGACACTTTGAAGGCTTAAGCTTCAACCCTGCTTTTTTTAATCGACACAATACTTCTCTGACTCGAGCAACGTGTTCGTTAATGGATTCTCCTGAAAAAATGATAATATCATCAAGATAAATCATACAGGTTTTTAAATTCAAATCACCAATCACACTTTCCATCAAATGCTGAAACGTTGCAGGACTATTGGTCAATCCCATCGCCATCCTGTTACACTCATAAAATCCAAGCGGTCCTACTGTGAATGCCGTCTTTGCTTTGTCTTCTTCTTTCAACTCGACTTGCCAATAGCCACTACACAAATCTAACGATGAAAACCAAACCGCCCCTTTTAGAGCATCTAGCGTCTCTTCAATCCGCGGTAATGGGTGAGCGTTTCGTACCGTGCGGTTGTTTAATTTTCTATTATCGATACAGAACCTTAAAGAACCGTCTTTCTTCCTGACCAGAACTACGTTTGATGCCCATGGACTAGCAGATTCTCGTATCACACCAGCAGTCTTCATCTCATCCAAGTACTCTCTCACTTCTTCATACAGTGCAGGAGGAATACGTCTCGACCGGTCTTTAAACGGAACGCTATCTGTTAATTCAATTCCATGTTTAACAACCGACGTTTTCCCAATATCCAACTTGTGTTGAGCAAACACCGATTTCTGCTCCAAAAGCAAATCTTTGATCAGGGAAATTCCTTCCCCGGATGCCGGTAAATTAAGCTGGTTTATAAAACTTTCATCATCGAGTTCACTTGACGGATTCATCATGGTAACCTGATAAATTCGGGCTACTGTGGTCCCAGGCTGCAATACCACCGATTTAGACTGATGGTTAGTAATCTCAATTTCAAAATTCCCATTACTTAAATCAATCACCCCTGGAGTCACGCGCAACCCGTCTTCGTGATGCACACCACACTCTGCCACTCCACAATCTTGAACCATTGCAATTGTTCGTGGAATTGGGATAACTATCTGTGACACACAACAAACAAATTTCGATTGGTTTGGACCAACTTCGATTTTCTTTTTATTCCTCAATAATCCATACACCCCTTGGGATTTTTCCAAATGTCTTTTTCTCAATTTCACAGTTTGTAACGCTAAACTAACTGATTTACAAATTTTATCATTTGGTATTCTACCCTGATATTTATTTTCCAGTTGTTTGTACAACCTATCGAGAACATTTGTTCCTATCAACATGGGAATTTGTTGGTTATATTCGGTATCAGGGGCCACCAGCACAGGGAATACACCTACCACGTGTGCTGTCCCATCCACTGGAATAGCTATCTCCAATTCTACATAACACGAGTAGGGCAGGTTTTCATCTTGGGGTCCCTTCACTAAAAGAAGTTGATCAACAGAATACCTAGGTAAATCAGGAAGCTGCTACTGAATAAAAGAATCACTTACACAAGTAACCATTGATCCAGAATCAACCAAAGCATATGTACAAATATTATTTACAATTGAAACGGACTCATTTGAGCTTCCCACTAAATTTTGTAATAACTTTTGAAATGAATCATCTGTTTGAATTGTATTCTTGGGATCCTCTTTCTTACTGGTCTCCAGTGATCCCTCCCTGGACACCTTTACCTGTTTAAAGTCTTCTGAAGGAGTTTCTTCTGAACTAACTCTGCATTCGCTGTTTTCTCACATCCATTTGCTACATGGCCATCCTCCCCACATTTAAAACAAAAAATACTCTTTTTACCACGCCGCTCCTTTCTCTCTACCTTAGTCTTTACCTCAGGCCGCGACGCTGTGGAAGGTGCACACACTTGACCTTTAGCCTCTAACTTGGCCACTCTGGCTTGTAACTCCTCCATCATCTTGACATTAGCTGCCTCAGATTCCTTTGAAACCGTCATGGAGTGGACTCTGGCTTCTTTCTTCTTTTCCAAACGTAACCTCTTCTCCGTTCGTCTGGCTTCTTCTCTTCTCACTAATAAAAGTAACTCGGCAAAACTAGGAGGATCTGTTAATTTTTCTAAATCAAGTTTATTTATTAACTCCTCATCAAAACTCCCACGAATAAATTGTCGTAAAAGATGCTCTGGGACTTCTCTAACTTCAATTCCACCCCTTTCTACAACCTGCATCAC